TGAATTATTTTAATTTTTTGGAACTCTGAAATATTTTAAGCAAACCAATATTTTTCTTGATTTTACATATCATAACAAAATATATATATATATATATATATATATATATATATATATATATATATATATATATATATATATATACACGTTTATGTAAAATTATCTCTATATCATTAGAATGAATGTTGTTGAGCAAGATATGGGCTTATTTAAGAGGATCACTGCTATCGAGAAATATTCAGTTTAAGATAATTTTTCTAGATTAGTACAATTAGTACAAATTATTGTTTCAGTTCTTGATTAAGCAGAGGAATTAATTTTACCAATTTCTTTGCTATCAGTTTTTGATTTCTGCTTAGAAGCTGATTTAGGTCTTATGAAGGCTATGGTAGGTAATGTTTAGAGTTTAATTTAGAAGGATTAACTTCTTCTTCTTAGAGTGCCGTCTCCCAACGAAGGTTGGCAAACATAATGGCTATTGTTATTTTTGAATTTGCTGCTGTAAACAAATGAATTGATCTACATTGATACCAATAACGTAGATTCTTCAACCATTAATTCTGCCTGCGGCCAACAGATCTTCCTTGAATCTTTCCCTGTATAATGAGTTTCAAAATTTCATATTTTGGAAACATCATCACGTGCTCAAATATTCCAGTTTTCTGGAATCTATAATATTTTTAGTACTTTGCGGTATAACCAGAGTTCGAAAGCCTCGATTATAGACCTGTAATCTTCACAGAGTCGCTTGGCTTCCCTTTATATTATATAGAAAGTATCATTTGTACTTTACAATCCTCTAACTGATTTCTAGTGTCTAGTTCATAACATGCGGCAGATTATTTTATAGATACGCTTCCACAGCACACGTCCACGATTCTTTGTTTTATTTTTTTCCACGAAGTTTTGAAGTTATTCCACCTGTAGCAGGCGTCTATGAAAATTGAAACCTCAATAAACGTACTACAATATTTAATTGTGGCTTATTCCCATTCAAACGGTAATTACTTCTAATATCACTGAGTATACATGTATTTTGTTTCTTTTAGATGACGAACTATTTCTTCCCCATGTATTTAAAACCAGGACTTGATGTAAGAGCAGTTGATATTCAACGATCAAGAGAACATGGTCTTGGATCTTACAATGACATGCGAGTGTATTGTGGATTGGGAAGAATTCACAGCTTTTATGACCTTCTAGAGATTATGGAAATAGAGGTAAAATTTTAATTTATTTGTATTGAGATAATATTCTTTATATTGTAATGGTTATATTGCCTACCACATAGGGTATTACTTATAGGGGGTTAAAAATTGGGAACAAAAATTACTGGATGTTCCGAAAGTACGCAACATACCTTGTTTTCCTTATCAAAGTGTTATTGGCACGCTGCTGAATAATGTCCGTCATCCAAAAATATTTTAAAAAATTACATTGTCATCTTGACGTTTTGTATTCGGCGTCAATTTTTATATAGAAATTCGTATCCCTTATATAGAAGTCCAAATCGTTATCGTACATTCAAAGTAATCAAGTTATATATTAGTAGTATAGTTCAAATCATGCAGGCGGCTCAGGACAGAAATTTGTGGGGTGAACTACGGGAGGCCTATGTTCAGCAGTGGACGAGTATGAGCTAAATGATGATGATGATAGTTCAAATCAAAGAAGTATAATCGTTGGTATAAATCTAACATTCGTTGAAGTGTATAAAGACTATAATTTTGTGCAGTAGAATCGGCATCTTGGGATGTAAAAATGGTGTTCATTGTCGTTTTAGAACATAGCAATTATTGTAATACTAAATAAGTTGAGTATCAGTATATAGTGTGTCCTCTTTGTGGGAGCGTTTCTTTACATGTAACAAGTGGATTACCTGATTAACATAAGAACTACCAAAACATCATCGTCTCCACATCTAGGCCTTTGTCAAGCAAAGCAGGATACATCGAGGTTCTATTCCAGGGCCACATAGATAATAATCGGAACATATACATCGGAACTGTAAGTGCATTTTCTATCTTTCTTTGACATTTTTGTTAACGAGCTCTATTTCGGACACGTTAAACTCAGCAGTTAGCGCATTTATTACTATTATTACTATTAAATTACTATTTTATTTTTAGATGTTTTCACTGACACGTTCTTTAGATCGTACTCAATATTGTCTTGGTTTGAGTTCACCAGATTAGTAGGAATTGTTTAGTATTGAATTTTCATTTAGTTTGGGAGTGGCTAATCGGCCACCCTACGGACTCACTTGGCGTTACGTATAGATTTTGAGTTGATCTGAATATAACGTTTAAGTTGTTTATTTAATCTTAATTGTTTGTTTTAAATTACCTGTTTTAGAATAGCCAAATTTATTTCTTCTGCATAGCTTATGTAGTGTTTGTTTATTCACTGTATTATAGTTAATTAATTTGACTTTATAATTGAATTTAATTCCCCACCTTTTTCACTTCCACCAAATATGGTTTGAACAGCACATCGTGAGATACAGCTGCTTTCTTCATCTGAAGGTTATCGGATGATTCACATTAGTTTTCCGCAATTTGATAATCATTGCGGACCCTAAAGTTTATGTTGACAGTGGACAAACGTTCTTCCACACTGGGCTTGTTTTAGGGTAAGCAACACAAACCGGAAAGTTTGCGAACGGCTACTCTTGGTTTAATTGGAGAGCTGACCATGAAAAAGTGAATAAAAGTTCCTTTTTTTGAATATAAGGATGAAAGTGGATGTTGTCCAGTCGTTGCGCCACTCTCCAGTTTCCTAATCATTTTGCAGATCATATGCACAACATTTACTTCAACATCTCCGGTCTCTTTTAAAACTTCTGCAGTGTGGTGGTCTGCGCCAGGAGATTTTCTATTTTTCAACTTTTTGATTATTTTTTCTACCTCTGACTTTAGAATATTTGGTTCTATCTCTGCAGTGATCTCATCGTGATTTGCATTTTGCGGATCATCTGCATATAGACTTTGAAAATATTTTCTCCTTACCTCCGCAATTTATTTCTTGTCATTTATAATATGTGTTAATCCATTTTTAACATGTTTTGATCCATTGCTGTTTGTGCGATTGGTTTAAATTCCCTGGATAGAGATATCGTACTTTGTTATATAGCTAATGGTAGTCACACCGGTTTCCATGTCTCTTTAGTTCTTCGCATTCTTCATTTATATGTTTATTTTTATCATCCCTACATGCTCTATTAATTTTCCTATTTAACCTTGCTAATTCGTTTTCGTTGCTGTCATTTTGATGTATGAGAGATTTAATTCTCCTTCGTTCTTCAAGAAGTTGCAGTGTTCTGCATCTGTCATCCAGTGTTTTCTTTTAATAATCTTTTTTCGGTTCTAGTTCTATCTACAGAGGTTTTTATGGCATCTCTAAAACCTTTCCACATTTCTTCTGGGTTGTCTTGTTTGTTTAATATACTAGTTTTCTTTAATGCATCTCCAAACGTTTTCAGATTTGAACATAGCACGAACCAAAACAGTGATTACTCAAACAAAAACTGACACATTACATTTGAGTATAATCCACATTTTTACAAACAAAATTTGCCGGTTCCTTCAGACCACCCACGCCGCGTCTTTTCTCTTTAAAATCTTTTTCCAACCTCATCAATTGCACTTAAACTCCACATTGTACCTATACTACACATTTTCCCGTGACAAAAGACAAAAAACGAAAAAAATTAGGAATTAGAAGAAAAATATGGACTAACACCAAAACCAACTGCCTTTGACAGAGGCTCCACCTATAGTGATACTATTTAATTACCCTTTGCCTAATTTGGTATAAGCAAAGCATAAACGAACATATTTCTATTTATTTGACGCGAAAACTATCCTAAAGCGGCCCTTGATCAAAAAAATACCGAAGAAATACCGATTTATAGTAATCTTCGCTATGCTGATGATACAGTCAGAATAGCTGATAGCCAAGAAGCGCTACAATGACTAATAGATAGAATAAACACTGTAGGAGAAGGACTGGGCTTGACGTTTAAAATAGACAAGACTAAGGTAATGGTGGTTAGTAGAACACGAAATATGCAATTAAATATAAGAGTAAACAACAAGAACATCCAAAAGGTCCCCAAGTTGATATATCTCGGTAGTTGGATAACTAAAGATCTCGATCCAGACATAGAGATACATAACAGGATTGAGCAAGCCAGAACAGCATTTATTAATATAAGAACATTGCTAAGCCACAGCCGCCTCAACTTAACGATTCAATATCGCTTTGTAAAATGTTACATTTACTCCATACTGATATATGGTGTAAAAACCTGGACCATAAAGGTCAGAGACTACTTAAAATTCCCTGAACAGATCACACAACAAATGTCGAAGTATTAAATCGAATGGGCAGAGAACGAGAATCGCTGCCAATAAAAAAAAGAAGAAAACTGCTAACCTGTGTCATATATTTCGAAATTCCGAATACCAGTTCTTAAAGCTTATTATGGAAGGGAAGATAAAAGCGAAACGAGGCTTCAGAAGAAAAAAATACTCATGGCTTAAAAACATAAGTGATTGGACAAACCTCGACGCCCATGCACTTTTAGAGCCACGCAAGATCGAGAGGAGTATGCCAAAATTGACGCCAATACCCATTAATTGTATAGGGCACCATAAGAAGAAGATATGTTAAATAAATAAACTTTAAAATGTGTTTATTATAAACTCCAGCGATGCAAAAGGATTGAAAATACTTGTTTGGTATTTTAACAAGTACGATAGAAAATAGAAATACATTGATAATATACTTCGGTGTTTTAATAAATATAAGGTGATTTGAAATGCTACAATATAATTCGTGTCATACATTTGTACAAATTTAGCATAGCTATGTAGATGGCTTTTATTGGCGACAGCGCTCAGATAGGAAACAAATTCTTTACGAACCTTTAAAGTACTTTTCGTTTTAATACACAAAAACTATTTATTTTTTATTAACTTAATAAAATATTATTACAGGATGTAGAAAAGCTCATCTCTCTATACGACCACCCAGACGATATAGATCTGATTGTGGGGGTTCTTTGGAGCGAAGGGTTCATGGAACTTTGGCAGGTCCCACATATTTATGCATCATGTTTGAACAATTTTACAGAACTAGGGTAGCGGATCGGTTCTTTTTTGAAAATTTTTATACTGGATTTAGCCGCGCACAGCTGAGAGAAATTCGAAAATCATCTATAGCTAGGCTGATCTGCGACAATGCTAATCATATCATAGAAATTCAACGGCACGCGTTTGTGCAAGTCTCTCACAGGTAAAGTACATGGTGTTGGGCTGCTATATTATACTCGAGAATTTTTATTAGTCAGTTCTATACTTATTTATGATAAGATTTTGAATTATTTATAGGCATGCTCTCTTTTTTTATTGTATAATCGCTTTGGCGTAGCCAATTAGCCAAACTATTTGTGGTAGTTACAATTTTTGATTTTATTACCTAAGTCTATTTGTAATCAAAATTTATAGAAAGTAATAATATATTCGTATACACATTTTTTTCAGTTTTTGACATATTTACAATTTCTAATTTTATTACCTAAAACTACTTATAATTTAAATTTACCGAACGTTATATATTCGTAGATAAATTTTAATATCTGCTTAATATTTAAAAAATATTTGTATTCAAATTGACAGGCAATGGACAATTTAGCTCCATTAGTTTTTCATACATCATTTTGATGCTTTTTTTTGTACTGTCCACACTCTAATATAGGGTGCTGCAGATCTCCCACTTTACCACAGGAGCAATATGGGTTATCAGTGATACCTATGCTGTGTTTGTATGCAGGAGTGAGTGAGTGCTTATTCTGTTTATTGTTTATAAATAACCTATTTGGCTCATATTTAAACCATCTCTCATTGGGAATTAGTGGTTAGCCAGTTCTAAAGATTATTCCAGTTGTACTTTGGTTGTATAAAGCTAATTAGCTAATTATCTAATTTGTCGACTACTTTATTTCCTAATATTTTAGAGTGTCCTTTTACTCAACAAATAATAATCGAGCTACATACGAAAGTAATACCATAATGTAAACTCTTTATTTCTATCTCAATATGGTTTAGGTTTTTTGTGGTTTTGATCGAAATGAGTTTTTTCCACAATGCTTTTACAATCAGTCATAATTATATAATTATCCATATCAATAAAGGCTATATATTTTAACGCAAGTAATAAATCAGATAGTTCGGCAGTACATATTGAAGTTTCATTAGGCAGTTGACATGATTTTTTTTAATTAGAATTTCCGTAATATATTGAACAACTTATTTTATTTTGAATTTTAGAGCCGTCAGTAAAAATGTATTGAAATGGAGGCCACTTATCTTTAATTATTTTGTTGATCATACTTCCTGGAAAGTTTGAATTCATATACTATGTTTCTATTACCTTGGAAAAGAGAGTCTGAGGAGGTTAAGTATAAATTAATGGTATTTTAGAATCCGCAAACTAATTTTCGAAACCAAATTCAGATTTTTGCTTTAATCTGTGCCTTCTTAGAATTGCAAGGCAACACAGACGTTGAAAAATATGTTAATAGAGACATGAAAAACCTGAAATATTTGGACTTTTCACCTTATATGGGAGTTATGATAATTTTTTAAATGGCTGAAATTTTTTGAGATATCTCTAGCTACACACTTATCTGTACAAAACTGTCTGCGTAGTGTAAGGGTTGGCTCTTTAGCTTTAATTTCAATAAGAGTAATAGGAATAGATTTTAAGTATATAGTGAATAGATTTCAAGTAACCAAAACATAGCTCAAACATTTATTCTTTTGGGTTTCAATTTTGTTAAGATATCCTGTTGACGCAGACCCATATAAATGACAGCTATAGTCGAAAATTGGTCGAATAATTGAGCAATAAAATAGCAATGCAATATTCGGGTCAGGTCCCCAACTGGTTTTACAAAATTCTATAGAATATTCATCGATTCTTTACGTCGTATCTCTCTTCTTACATCTATCTTTACGATATGCTCGAACTCAAACGACTTATGAATCACTTTGTATTTGTATTTAAAAAAACTAACCGTTTTGCAATATTAACACTTTTTAGAATCGTACAAATAACTACAACAAAAATATACAACACCCTGTACATGAAAATAAATGTGGTAGCTGTTTTGAGAAAAAAAATAATTTCTTGTTTTTTTTTCGCCCTGTATATAAATGGTTCTTATTATAGGATGTCAACGTAAAATAAACAGGTATTTTTTCTAGCATTTTTGCAAAATTTACAATATAAATTTAGTAGTTTAAAAGATAATACTTCTGGCAAAATGAAAAGATAACCTTAAATACGGGCATGTTAGAGGCCTATTCCTGCTAATGTCTACGTCTCCTGCATAGGTTATTAAATTTTAATATAGTTGGGTTGTGCAATTAATTGTTTAAATTGATACGCAAGATAAGCAATCTTTAGTATAGATTAACCATGAAGACTCAAATCCTAAATGAAACTTTAAGTTTATATAATAAAAAAATAGATCATAGGAGAATCATAGTAGAATTATTAAAAATATGAACGTTTCTAAAATAATTTTCATTATCAGTCCTGTTAGAAAAATTATAAATTTTTTTAAATCTGTAATTATATTATTCAAGAATTACGTTTTATTAATAAAAAATGAGCAGTAGTAAAAATACACCTTATCTCACGCATGTTTTATTTTTAGCAATCCTAGGGTAGCCTGCAATAAAATACCTGGAATCGATTTAACACTCTGGGAAGAAAGACACACAAATCATCATTAAGTCTTATATAAAAATATGTATTACAGAAAAACTGCTATGTATATAATAAACATTTTTTTATAATTCGTTTTTTAATGCTAATATTGAATCTTCATAGCCTACATAACACTCTGTTATAAATTTTTATAATTTTTGTTTAATAAACAACAAAATTAACTATCTTGTTATATTTAAAGTATTTACATCAAAGAGTATCAATACATATCAGAAAGAATAGTAACAGTAGAAAGACCTGAACATCATCGGAGTACACGGCCCAGAAAATAACAAGCCTCAAACAACAAGGGAGCGTTTTATGACCAATTACAACAAGTAGATGGTCAAGTAGACAAGTCGAACAGGCAATCAAATAATATCCGGAATTTAGCAAAAATATACTGAGGATGTCAAAAACGAAAGTGAAGAACTGATGATAAACTTCTGCACGAATAACGAGCTAAGAATGAACAACACATTTTTTGACCACAAAAACCAACACAAATATATGTTGAATAACACCCCTGAACAAAGATCTTAATAGATTATGTTTTAACCAACAGAGATATACATTCATCGAAAATAGTCGACGTAAGATGCCTAAACTCAGCAGATGTAGGTAGCAACTATGACTTAGTATTATGTAAAATAAATATCATATTAAAATACTTCTCCACCCAAAAGTGAGGCGCCCAAACAAAAATACGGAATTCACGTAATACATTACAAGAATATCTGATATATTCCATTCTCTTAGCTCGGGCATATTTTGACAGATTCATTGTCGGAAACCTACAATACAAAAATTCCTACTTATCAGTATTAATAGCTCAAGTATACTACTATTGCAGACTTCTTTTTTTGAAAAAAAGAAGAATTATTCTAAATAGTGGAAGTATATACTAAACCCATCAAATTTTCCCTGTATATTTAAAATATAATACTTGAATTGTTACAATTTAACATATTGTAGTAAATATTTGTATTATTCGCGTTGTTTATTTTAGCTAATGTAGTTTTATTATTCTATTATTTTTGTTTAATTCTTTGTTAGTTCTAAGATTTTCTTAAATAAATATGATAAATGTTCTTTAAAATTTAATATTTTTAGATGAGTCAGGATGCTGTTAAATTACAAGGTAATCAAACTGCACAAAGATTTATTTAAATCACCAACCATTTATTTTATTATTTGCTCATTCGGTGTAGGTTGATTATTAAATATATTTATGAAATTATGTAAATATGTTCTTAATAACAAAAACATTTCAATTAACAAACAGTTCAGTTTGACATGGCGTCAAAAATTATCTATAATTTAATAAAAATATATTTTATAAAAAAGTTATGGTAATTTAGTTTATATCGTTAAGTTACTCCAAATATAGGCAACTAACTTAAACTTTTTGTGAGCATCTAGCTGGAGTTTCTTGAGAATATTTTTGATAAACTTTTAATATTTTCCAGTTAATTTATTATTTTTTTAAAGTGATATTTCAAGAAATATTGAATCACAAAACGTACTTAATATTGTATTATACAATCCTCCCAATAAAGTACGTTAGATAAAAAGGTAAAATCCCGGTCGTCGAAAATTAGCTTCTGATAGGAATAATAGAATATTGAATAGAAAGGAATAATATAATAGAATATGATATTTTTGAATTACAGTTTTGATGATATTGGATTATATTTTTGATGAATGACATTTTTGAATAATAATATGAATATTATGATATTTTTTATCTAACGTATATTATTATGAAGATTATGTAACACAATAATAAGTACGTCTTCTGATTATATATTATTTGAAATAGTGCTTATTCAGCATTATTATTACTTAAAAAAAAATAATAAATTAACTGGAAAATATTAAACGTTTATTAAATAAATATTCTCAAGAAACTCCAGCTAAATGCTAACAAAAAGTTGGTTGCCTACATTTGGCGCAACCTAACGATATAAACTAAATTACCGTAACTTTTTTATAAAATATATTTTTATATATAATAGAAACTTGCATGCTATACAAGTCTTTATACATGCTATAAATTTCTAAGTCATAGTATAAGTTTCCAAAGGAGGTCGACGAAATACTCTAATGAAATGCGCTATGAGCACGTGTGCTTGGCTCATCGAGCAATAAGACAAAAGAGGGAATCTAATCCTTATGAAAAGGAGACCAAAAAAGTGGCCTCTGATGGCGGACATATCCGGAAATGCGAATGCGCCAAATTTAAATTTTCCGACACTTATCAACAGTAGCTATAATTATAATATTTTTCAGAATGTGTTTTAGACGAGAAAATTTTAATTAATTATTAATGATAAGAGTCTTAAATGCGACTCAATTGTTAAAAAAC